ATTTTTCATCTTGACCAGAAAAATCAAAGATCATGTTCGAGAAATCTAATGGGATTCCAGTTAATAATCAATTAGGTGATCACCCGTGTATTCACACAAATACACGGATAAATTTATTAGTAAGTTTTTTCATAGACAAAAATGGTGTAAAACATGGTAACACAAAAAAATATGGACTTTTTTCCAATACTCATAGAATAAAATTGTTTGTGGTTCTCTTTGGTTTAATATATTTCACCAAAAAGTGTAACTATATAAAAAATAATTTGTGAACTCTCTCGTTTTATCTAAGTAATGTAAGATTAAAAAATCATTTTAAAAAACTAAAATCTCGATTTTACTTGCATATCATTAACTTTCGATTTTGTTTTTAATGCATTCCTTTATAGTGTTTTTGTAATTAAGATAAATCAACATGTTTTAGAAAAATTCTCAAAGCGAGATGTAAGCAAAGGTGCTTCCATTGTTTTTCTTCTGATAGAAATTTTATGTAAGAAAAATCTAATGGTACATTTTACAATATAATTTTTGAAATAATTGCTTATGACAAGGTTAATATTATTCAAATGGGCTTGACACCTGGAATTAAGAGAATCTGATATTGCATTTGTAAAATCTTTTCTTTTAGATTAGGCTACTAATCATGATGTGAACTTTTATATATATATATATATATATATATATATATATCTGAGAAGACAACATATATATGATATATATATATATATATTTACATTTCAATATGACAGTTTATCAAAAAAAAAACATTTCAATATGACATCCAAATGGAAAAACGAACATGTGCCCTGAAGCTTTAAGTGATTGCCGACATAATAGTTTCCCACTTGCTCGACAACATGTCAAAGGCACTGCTCATGAATTTACTTAACTACATCACATTATTGATAGATTACAAACTATAGTTATTGTCTGATTGTATGAGACATGCATCACGCTCGCTGTAACACTCTGACCATCACTTTTTAATAGGTCCCACATCCTCTTTTGGTCTGTAGGTTCACCCGTATTTGATGGCCGGTCCGTTATTTTCGGGAGGTTTTAAAAATTTGTTTACCGATCCTACAAATCATCACATGTTCTTTTTCTATGTTTTGTCCTCACTCACACGGTTCCGACAATTACGTACTTCCTAGAAGGTCACTCATCTTAAAATTGTTCAAGCATAAACACGCTTAACTGTGAAATTCTCTCATGACGTTTGAACGAAAAGATAAGTACACTTTGGTGATATAGGTGTCCAAATCAATTCTTTTAAACTTCTATGTATGCGCCACCATATTTTCTGAACCAAGGTGTTACAATTCACCCCTACTAACAGAGCACAATGTCTTCGTTACACACCAAGATTGTAACCCCCGATGGTGTGAGCCTTCTTGACTCCACACTCGTCTGGGTTTCGCTCTGATACCACTTGTAACGTCCCAACCACCACCTTTAATGAGTCCCACGTCCTTTCTCGGTCTTTGGATCCACCCGCGTCCCTTAGTCGGTCCGCCACATCCGGAAGATTTTATAGACTTGTTTACCAATCCTACAAATTACCACGTGATCTTTACCCGTATTTTCTTCTCACTCGCACGGTTCCGACAATTACTTCTCGGAAGGTCACATATCCTGAAATTACTGCAGCTTAAGTACTCTTAACTATGGTGTTCTCTCAGTCTAGAAGGCTTTCTGCCTACTTATATGTGACTGTTAGTAATGTCCTCTCTGGTTTGTTGACCAAGGCAATCTTAGAAAAACGTATCACTAATTTTTGGTGCTTGGTCTTTACTTTACCAAAAAAAAGTGTTTTAAAGAGATTGAAAGTATGTGTTTAGCTTTCTATGGAGTGGCTTTGAAAATGTTCATGGGAAAGCTAAGGTAACTTGGGAGGATGTATGTGTACCCAAGGAAGAAGGTGGTCTTGGGATTCAGCGTTTTCATAGAGGTCCAACTCGCATACAATTTCTAGGATCAAGCTATAAAGATGGGCATCAAATCTCTTAGATTGAGATCTGATTCCTCTCAACTCATTAATGCCATTTTGTCAAGATCTTCCTTTTCGGATCTCCATGGTATTCTATCTGACATAGAGTCAAGCTTAGTTTTCATGTAATTTCCTTTAAGCAAATCCCTCGTTATTCTAACTTTGAGGCTAATGCATTGGCTGAGCAAGCTCAGGGAGTTTGTAAGCACTCTCCCTTGATAATATAAATCAGTTTCGTCCAAAAAAAAGGAACGTAAAGAGTATAAGATAACAAAGATCATATAGGTGCGTAGAAAAGAGTGAAAGCCCAAAAGATTTCTTTCTCCATGCATGCATTTTTGCGGAATTCCATATTGATCGAGACCCTTTTACACATTTTAGCTTGTAAATCCATGGAGTCTTAACTAGGTTAAGCAAGAGTCGGATAAAATCTGTCACTATATATTACGGAGATCGTAGTAACCTAGACAAAAAAACTATTGCAACTTAATCCATTCAATGAGATCAGAGCTACATTTTGTCGGAAAACTCCCACGATGTCTTAATTTCGGTGTGAAACATTATTCTAGTGTTTTGAATAGAAAACTTAATACAACAACATTGATAGAAAAATGAGATTACGCAATTTTAGCTGGAAAACAAAATAATGCTATTTTAACGGAAAAACATGAATTTACGATTTTGATGAGAAAATCACAATTTCATGATTTTGAGGAAAAATACAACTCCATAATTTTGACGATAATAAGATATTTTGCTTTTTTGGCGAGTAATATCTAATGACAAATTTAACATGAAAACACTATTTTTAATTTCGGCATGAAATATTATTTCACAATTTTGGCGAGAAACGTAATTACACGTTTTTTTTATATCTAATTGCTTAGTCCAAACTCAAATACATATTGAAGAAAAACAACATCCAGTTTTTTCATCAGAATATGGCATCCAGATGGAAAAATGAACATATCCTTGGATCTTTAAGTGATTGCCACAAAATAGTTAATTTCCGACTTGCTGGACAACATCGTGTGAAGTAACATTATTGATATATTGTAAAGTGAAATTATTGTATGATTGTATGAGACGTGAATCACGCCTCACTCATCGTGTGAAGCATGAAACTTCTGTATGCTACATATATATTTTGCTTGTTTCATATAAGACAATGCACTAAAATAATCACAAATACATGTATAAAACCATATATGATTAATAATATTTATGCTCTTTCTTTATAAGCTTTTTACTCTATTTGTTTTTGTTTATGGGCCTTTTCCTCTGCGGGATTTTGAAGGAGGTACATAAAAACGAGGGGGAGGTGGAGGAATTGGTGGAGACAGCGTCTTTTCACCTGCTAGCAATATTGAAGATATTGTTTCATTAAATAATTTTCAACCATTAAATATACAATTATCAAAAATCAATCAATTGAAAAAATACAAATATAAATAATTAGGTGATACATCTGAACATATGCGCCATAACAATAAATAAAAAGAGGGAAGCGTTTTCAATAAATTAAAATTTAATATAATATTTAACAGCAAACAAATAATATAAATTACAAAATTTATAAGTAAACATATGAGTTTGTTAATGTGTTTATCATTTTTTTTCATTTCGCCTTCAATTCTTTATAACTATAAAATTCATATATAAATATGTATAAGAAAAAAAAGAATATAAATAAGGTCTGCTTACATATTGTGTAAAGAAAAATCTTTTGCAAAAAGGATTAATATTGGTTTCTAAGTTTTCACATCATAATCGGTTTCTCTTCCTGTTTCTTGATTCAATTTATTTTCAAACAAGGTTTCCAATGGTCAATAAAATCATAAATGTCAAGCATTTGTCGGGTTTTTTTCTACCCGAGAAATAAAAAATGATTTAATAATCATGTTAAGAAAGAAAAAAACTCAAATGTAAACAGTAAAATAGCCTACATATAACCGGGCCTTGTGGCCTAGTGGTAAAGGGGTCACAGCTGTGACTTCCGCCACCAGGGTTCGAGGCACGGCCACTGGCAGGTTTACATAGGGGAATTGCCAACCTCGTGGGATTAGTCCTTGGGCCAGAGCCGGCGCTAACCTATGAAAGGCTACAAGCCAAAGAAAAAAAAAAGGCTGCGTAACATTTTTGTTGTTGAGCTGTTATCAAAAAAAAAAGAAAAAAATGGCAGTAGTGGAGGTTCGAAGCCGGGTTAATGATGGTGTTAAGAGTCTACCCAAACCGCTGGACTAAATAAAGTTTTAACGAAAACGGGCCGAAATTTAATCTTATTATTGTCGGCCGCAAGCTGATGCTTCGTCAGCTTGTGTCCAGGGCCGGCTCTGCCTTGGGCCTAGGAAGCCTTTGGGAGACCCGCGGTTATTCAAAAAAAAAAATAGCCTACATATATAATCCTAGATTTAAAGGTTACATAAATTACTTGCAAGTATCATACATGGTATATCAAAATGAAAAAAAATACATCAAAATGAGTGCAAATACTAACTTTGGTCGCGTTTGGCTTCTGTGAATCCAACTTGAGAGGAGATAAGCAGAAGCAGAAGAAGTAAAGACAAAAGAAGAGAAACTAAATGTGATATCTTTGTAGCCATTTATGGTCCACTTTGTCTCTCTACCGTAGCAAAAGACCATCTCATGCTATCAATATATATAGAAGTAAATGAAGCATCAGTAATTACAAACTCACCAACTACTTCTCCACTCAACCGTTCCTTTACATCATTTCTCCGAAAAAATGTTCTTACATTTTTTCCAATTTTCCATACAAAGATATTCTTTGACCGTTTTCATACGAAGACTCATGATAAAATATTTCCATATATGAAATAAAATATGTGATCCTATTTCAATCATAAAATCATACAAAATTGTAATGCCAAAGAGTATTTCTATTCATGAGCCAACAAATGAGGATAACTGTAAAATTGTAATGACGGAAGGGTATAAAAATGAGAGGTCGTAATTTCTATATATAAGCTAACAAACCATGTTGGAATTCGAATTCTGGTGGCCAATGCTACTCGAACTCAAGTGGCAAAGATTTTTCTCTCTTTTACTGTTGGACCAAAGCGTTTTGGTTTGCAATTATGACTAAACCTCATGCACAATTGGTGGTCGTAAAGTAGTTGTAATATTGTCGCAAAATTTATTGACTAATTTATTGATTAAACCGCATGAATAACATGTCGTCTAAGTATAGTCCTAAAATAGTCGTAAAATGTTACTAACTATCATGCGACTATGTGACGACTATTAAGCGACTAACATTGTAGTTAGTAAGTATTAGACATTGTATAGTCGTAAAATATAGTGACTATAATGCGACTATGTTGCGACTAAATTAACGACTATTTGACGACTATTGTTGTTGTCCTGATAAGAATTGGGTATGAATCAGAATTGGAATTGGTTTTGTTTTTGATTGTATGCAACCTGCTTTTTGACTTTGATTATGACATAATAACTACTACTCTTATTATACCTATAACAAAATAAACATTATATTGAAATATATATTACAATGAAAATATTAAAAAAACAAGTAACATTGAGTTCATGTATATACAAATAAAAACTCCAACACACACAGGAAAGTGACATTGAGTTCATGTATCTACAAATATAAACTCCAACACACACAAGAGTGGCATTGAGTTCATGAGATTGAAAAGAGTTGATATATAGAGAAAGTAATTAACCTAAGAAGCAGGTGTAGTTGAAGATGGAGCTGTTTGGTGAAGACCGGTTGAGAGAGGCTATGTGGTTGCCGTTGCACCTGAATGACTAGCCATAAAGTTCAGGAAATGCAGATCAGTTTGTCAAAGATATAACATTTCTTTTTTTGCACCGGATGTATCTATACTAGTATAATCGCAGCACTTTTTGTGACGGGTGGGTAAAAAAGCTTTCGGGTATATCGGATACCCGACCCATTTTAAAAATTCCTTCACAAAAAATTTGTTGGGTCGGGTTATATTTAACCCAACTCATACACCGGATATTCCATATTTAATAATTTAGATTTTTAGAAGATTTGATTAAGATTTATAATTATGATTCTCCTATCATCTTTGTTTGATTTGTTTTTAACTGTTTTGAATCATCATATAATACATAAAGTAAAAAAAAAAAATCAATTTTTTTTCTGCATATACTGTGATTCGAAATTTTAAAAACAGACATATATTATCCAATTGACGAAAATGTGTGTTCAACGTTCTACATCGATTAAAATATTTAGACAATGATTCAGAATCATATCATAAATAAGAACATTAATAAAATAAATGAGTTTTTTGGCGGGATGGGTTTGGCGAGACGGGTTTTTGAATCAACAATAATAAAAAGATTAAAATATCATTAATCCGCCGCTTCAATACGGATTTAATCCTTTTTTTTTTAATACAAATCACAGGACGGATTAAGAAATTACGGAACGGGTTATATTTCGGAAATGATTTATATGGCGGACGAATTTGAATCAATATTTATATACCGCTTTAATACGGGTTAAATCCTTAGTTTATTAATAATTATCTCGTGGACTCGTGGTATACCGTTACTTAATAACAATTGTAAACTATAATATAAATAAATATGTTATAAGGAGATACAATTTAAAAAATATTTTTATACTAACTTTAAAATTAAATCATCCCGCGGTGTACCGCGGGTTAAAATCTAGTGCAGGTAGTATAAGGCTTCATGTGTGATGAGGACATTGTCAACAATCACTCTTTGGGGGACGAAGGCCGACTGGTTTTCTGAAACCAGATTGTGGAGTACGGGCTGGAGCCGTTTGGTCAGTAGCTTTGCAATAATCTTAAAATAAACTGAGCAAAGAGCTATTGGCCTACAATCTGACATTGTATGGCCTATAATCTGACATTGGGCAAAGAGATATTGGCCTATTATCTGACATTGAGCAAAGAGTTAATATGTTATATGCTAAGTAATTTAAAAGTACAAAACAATGTAAACTCTTCTACTTTTGCTTGGTATCAAAAGAAGTTGCAGTTAGAATTCGACCTCGGGACTTTGCCATATTCCCCTTTAAATCGGTAGAACTAACACAGATTGAGTTTAAACTATTATCTTTTTTGCTCGAGCTAAATATATCTAACAACTTTAAATAATATCTAATAAATCAGTAAAGTGAGAATATTGGTGATGACCGAGATTGGAGTCACTCCATGTATTACTTCGGCAAACTATAGAAACTAACGTAGCAAAAGAACATGTGATGTATTCTTTCATCTTCATTGGCTCTTCTATGTTATAATCTTAAATAAACTAAAAGAAAATATGAGAACACTAAACATATATGTACATGCAATTATATATATACTACAAGAAAACACGTCATTAGCGACGTTATTCAGCGACTGATAAATTAGTCGCTGAATTTGAGGACTGAATTGCGACATTTAGGCGACTGAATGTTGCCTAAACAACATTAGTCGCTAATCCGTCTGCATTTGGCGACGGATAACAATAGTCGTTGTATAGTCGCCAAATTAGGCGACTAAGTAGCTTCTGAATATTTAGTCTATAAATTGGGCTACTAATTAGCCACTTTATAGCGACTATAATTTCTAATTGGGCCTTTTAATTGGTCTCGGTCCATTAGATTTACTGCGATGGCCCATAGTATAAATTCCCTATTTCTAACCGAGGAAACCCTAATTCCGCATTTCTCTAACCCTAGATCCCTAATTCTCTCTATCTCGACGAACCCTAACCCTAACCCTGCAATTTCTCTCCAATTCTCTACAAATCTACTTCTTTTAGGTCTAATCGATGGCTCCTCGTGTTCGCGGTGGAAGAGGAAGCGGAAGAGGGAAGAGGGGACCGAAGTCTCCGGTGAAGCGACCCACTGTCGTCCCTACTCGACCCACATCTTCCGGTGTGTCGAGTCGAAGACCAAGGAGCCTTCCGTCGCAGTATGAGTTCACGCCGGCGAACCCTGAAGATCCAAATCATGGGACTGAGCATCCGCCGAATCGTCAGCCTTCACCGCAACTGAGTCTAAGAGACTATCCACCTCCGCTGCAGCTTTTCCAGTCGGGCGAAGGATCTCAGCATGCAGCTGGTGGATCTCCTCGGGGCTCTGGAACGACTCCGTTTCGAGCATCTGTCTCCTCTGTTCATCGTTTAGCATCCGGATCTCCCCGTGCCTCTCAGTCTCCAGCTCCAGTTCAGCCTCCAGCGCCGGTTCCTTCTCCAGTGGTTAATCAACAACGACCACCAAGAGCCTCTCTGTCTGGTCACAGTTCTCAAGCTCAGAACGTTGAAGAAGAAGAAGCTGCATCGGATGAAGAAGCTGATGATGAAACTACATCGGAGGATGAAGGTTTGAGGGATTCAACACTCCCAGAAGATGTCCTCGCGACTTTACATGATACGCTTCTCATCCCAGGACGTGAGCTCTATACTACTCTCATCTCTCCGACTTTAGAGCCTGGGACGACATGGTAAGGATTCTGAATGTTTATAGGATTGTTTGTATAGAATTGTGTATAGGATTGTCTAGAATTGTGTATAGGATTAGGTATGGTTTAGGTCTGTTTGTGTTAAGGTATGGTTTGTGTATAGGTTTAGGTATGGTTTAGGTCTGTTTGTGTATAGGTTCTGGTTCTTGTTTAGGGTTTAGGTATGGTTCTGGTTCTTGTTTAGGGTTTAGGTATGGTTCTGTTTAGGTATAGTTTGTGAAGAGGTTTAGGTCTGTTTGTATTCTTGTGTATAGATTGTAAGTTTGTTTAGGTATAGTTTGTATTCTTGTGTTGTATTCTTCTGTTTGTATTCTTGTGTATAGATTGTAAGTTTGTTTATTTGATTGTAGGTTTGGTAAGGATAAGGGTAAGATGACCCGGAAGGTCACCAAGTGTTTTACTAACAAGTTTGATGGACCATACTACAATTGGAGTTGTGTGCCAACTGGAAGAAGAGAAAGATACTTTCTTGAATTCGCTGTAAGCTTCTAGCCCTCTTCTACTACTGTATTTTTATATTGTATTTTGATAACTAACATCTGCTTCACTGTCCTCTTGTTTTGGTAGAAAACACACACCTGGCATCCCTCAGTTACAGGTGTGGTTGAAGCCAAGTTCTACAAGATCATTGCACTGCGTATGAAAGACATGGTTAGTAAGGCAGGGTCAAAAAGCCCAAGAGTGAGGCCGTATTGGATTGAGAAAACTCTGTGGAGAGAGATGTGTAAGTATTGGGATACTGAAGAAGCCCAAGCCAAGAGTTCAACCACATCAGCAGCTAGGATGTCTGACCGTAATGGTCTTGGTCCTCACAAGCATGTTTCTGGTCCAAAGTCCTTTTTACAAGTGGAGCAAGAGATGGTAAGTTACATGTCTGTTTTAAATACTTGTTTTGTTTATTACTTGCTGACATCTCTGTTACTATATTTCAGGAAGTTGAATTGGGAAGACCTCCTACTATTGGAGAAGTGTTCATCAGAACTCATACCAAGAAGGATGGGACATTTGTGGATAGGAAGGCGCAGGAAATCCATCAGGCATATCTCAAGAACAAGGCAGCTAAGTTGGCTGCCCTGCAAGAGAATGATGAACAGGATGATGGTAATTCGCGTCAGTCTGAGCTGTCTCAGGAGGAGGATGATGAGATATTTCTTCAGGTAGTAGTCTTGTCTTTTGCTCTGTAGTCTACTTTTATCTGTTAAGCACTAATGTTTTTACTTTGTTTTGCAGTCTACTGTCACAAATGATAGAGGGGATTACTTTGGAATTGGCAGCTTAGGGGTTTACATCAACGGGAAGCGCAAGTACGCAGGAAGCAGTTCTTCTTTCACAACCCTGCAGTCACAGCTTGAGGATGCTAACCGCAAGATAGAGGAACAAGCAGCTCTACAAGCAGCACGTGAAGCAGAGGCATTGCGGGTCGCAGCATCACAAGCAGCTGAGATCATGCATTTGTCGATGGTGAAGAAGTACCTGAGTGAAACTGACCCTAATTTCCTGGCCTTCCTCAATTCCCAATCAACTCCTGCTGCGGATGATCATTCAGAGGTCCAACCAAATCCAACTCCTGCTGCTAATGCTGATGGTACTACTCCTGCTACTTAGCTTTCTCTCCTCTTAACTCAAAAACTTGAACTTGATCTTTTGGTCTTGTACTTATGGTACAAGTATGTTTGTATTTATGTCTTGTGAACTTGATATTTTGGACTTGTACTTTTGGTCTTGTGAACTTGTATGTTTTTATGTTTATTAAGAACTTGTATGTTTTGGTCTTGTTAACTTGTATGTTTTGTATGTTTGGTTTTAATTAGTAAATGCAAACGTAATTAGAATCAAAATAAGCAGGCAAAATCCAAAAATAAACCTCCAATAAGTCGCAAAACGATAGCCATTCAGTCACTAAAACATTCATAAAACAGTCGCCTTGTAGTGTCTTTTTGGCGATTCCACAGTCACCTATTAGTCGCCACACCAGTCGCCAAATAGTGACATATTAGTCGCAGAACCGTCGCCAATTTAGCGACTCATACGCGACGTACAGGCGACTTCAAATAGTTGTCGCAGAATAGTCGCTATTTAGCGACTATTAGGCTACAATTTATTTTAGCGACGCAGTGTTCGGCGACAACGTTTATTAGTCGCTAATTAGTGGTTATTATGTGTTTAGCGACTCTTTAGTTACGTTTCTTGTAGTCGCTAAATCCATGTTTTCTTGTAATGTACACTTTTATATTTTGAAATTTTATATATATATTATTACATGTAGGAATTTAAAATGAACATGGGTTGGTAGGTTAGCTAGTTGCTTTACTTGCAAGTTGCAACTAATTTTCCTCTCCCGGTTCGACTTTGCGACTTATTTGCATGATTGAATCTATGAAAATTAATATTTTAATTGTTTACTAGTCAACAAAGTCAACTTTGTTTTTTTCTTGTAGACTAGAGGATTTCACACCATCAAGGCATCGACGACGAAACACCCATGTTGTAATAAACTAATAATACCCACATGTTATTAAAAAGACTAAGGACAACATTGGATTTTGCAAATATATATACGTACCCACGTGTTATTTAAAACTAGCACTGTTTGATTGTCTGTTAAATCGTGGAAAGGAAATATTTCTTACAATATCATACAAGTGCAAACGAAAAAGATCTCTCTCTCAATGCGTGCGATGCGATTTTGCATAATTTCATATCGATAGAAACCCTTTTACACAGCGATCTCAACTAGTTTAAGCACAAACTTATCAACTTCTTTTAATTTCATCAAAAAAATGTCGTCACGAACGGCGTGACAATCATTCTCGATGTGTTTTTTACGTTCATAAAACACCGGGTTTGTACTGATGTAGATTGCTGATTTGTTATCACAGAAAATTTTCATCGGCTGATAATGTACAACGCCCATTGATAGAAGCATGACAATCATTCCAGTCACTGAAGGAAATTTTCTGACTAATTCCAGTCACAGTCCTGACCATGGCACTATAAGTTTCATTTACTTGAATGGATAGTTTTATATACGTGGGCGGCTTGATCTTAGTATAGTAGCCACCCATCGGTGGCATTCCGAGTAGTTCACATATTTCTGTAAGCATAATTTGATATTATTTGCATACACTGTTGCTAAGTTGCATATATTGTCATGAGCAAACAATTTACGTCCCAAGTGTGGACTAATGATAATATATATAAATGAAAACTAATTAAATGAGTCGGGAAGGACGCATTATTATTTATTTAGATAAAGACAAGTAGAAGGGTATACAATCTAGTGATCGATAACCCTCTATGACACGTAGACAAGCTGGAAACAACCTATTAAACAGTACTAGCACCATAGTCTAGCATTATTGCATGAAAAAAGACACTCTGATTTATGATGGCCATCCTTTTACTTTTATATATGCTTGTTTAAGCACTTTTAATTGCGGCCGTAGATCCTCCGGTGCAGACAGTAGAACATGCCTTGGTGCATAGTTCAACCGCTTCACTCAAATCTTTACTTGCGTCAAGTCACGGAAACAATATTAGTTTGAATTAGTCGCTTGTCTTAATAGAAATAAAGATAATAATAATAGTGAACTATTAACTTAGTGTGGGGGAGCTTGCTTTACCCGAGTTTTGGAGAAGTGTCAAGGCACCACACACAGAGGATGCACACCCCAACTTGCAATATTCATTGACAGCATCACCTGAGGCAAAAAATCAAGATACATTAAATGACTTGCATCACAAATGAAAATTACATCGAGCTTATAACAAAGATAACTTAATAGAAAAATTGGATATACCTGAATTTTCGTGAATGTCATTTGTATATCCCGGAGGACATATATTCCCAGAAATAATTTTGCATGTACTCAATGCTAGACAATGTTCTGGGGATGGCCTCCTAATGCATAATAGATATTTAGATCTAGCAGTGTGGTTAGGACAGCAGAGTTTTTTCGCTTCTACTTGAATCTGTGTCAAGACAAGACTCATTATGAGCAGACTTGAGATCACTGTTTTGCCTTCCATCTTTTGATTGATTACTTGTTTGATCACAAAATGTACGTTGACAAAACTCTTAGTTATAACTATACGTTTGTCGTGATGAATTGGTGATGAAGCAACACTCGGTTAAATACTAGCTCTTCTAAAATTTGCATCCAGAAAAATTCATTTATTTAATACTTTATTAAGTCTACTCAAGTCTCAGTGGCTACAACTTACTGCGCCCACCTCCCACCTTACCCAATAAATCTTTAAAATTAATGGTGTTTGTCTAGGGAAATGGCGATGAAACAAGATTGGCTTAAATACTACTTATACAACTTGCCAAAAACTTGCCACCAAAAACTTCATATGACACCTTCATCACATGCATGCTCTACAGAGTCTATCACAAAGTTGTAACACTTCTCGAGATGCATGTTTGAGAACACGTCGCATGTTAAAGATGATTTTTTTTTTTCTTTTTTTTTTTTTTGTTAAAGATGATTATGTGACTGTGTTCACTCCGAAGGTATTTTCTTAGACGAATTCGTAGAGGATGAGTCAAATGAAGAGTATATGTTACATGGAATCCCCTCAACTCATACGATGTATTTCGAAAATACCCTTGATCGAGAGTTGAAATTAGTTTCATCTAAAGTTTTGGCTAATTCTACACGAAAAAAGGATATAACAAGAGAAGATATATATCACTGGAAATTATTTTGCGGACTGAACTTTGTTGTGCAAATATTTTGTCAAGTAATAGAAGAAGTTAGACAGTAAATTTTTTGTTAGGGAATTGTGATTTTGAATTTTACCATGATTTGATGGTGAAATTTCGTACTTTTTAGTAGACGCCAAGAACAAGAGGAAATCCATGACAAAATATACAAGTCAAACGAGAGAAGAAAGTGAAGTAAAATGATAAGATTGTCTTTTCCAAAATATAGAAATAGTAAAGCTCCCTAGAACCAAAAATGACTCACTTAATTAATATTCTAAAGAAACATTGTACGCATACGCACATGAAATACCTACAAAATCGAACAAGGAAACATTATTCCAACAAATACGAATCTCCTTCCTTTGTCAACCCTCTCCATGACTTCATCAAACTTCTTTGTTATGGCTTTCATGGCTTCTTTTACCCCTTGATGTGTCTCCATGTTCTTCATAAGATCTTCACCTTTTGGTTGAGTCAGACTCTGTACAGCTGATCTAGCAAGTGGCATTTTTAATTGAGTTACACCAAGTCGTTGCTCTATCACAATATTAATGGAACATATCGAATAAGAGAGACAAACTTAAACTCCAAAGTTTCTTCCATTATCACGAACCAATCTAACAATTACTCGACTGCTAGATAAACACAAAACTCAGGAATCTTGAGGTTAAACTCAAACAAACGTTATTTCAACTCATATTTAGAGATGTTTATATTTTGTTCATTATGACTTAATCCTTTATTATCAATTTATTAAGCTATAGTAACTAGTAAACTATTTTTTTCTATAATAACCATCGAGTAAAATGACATGATAGACAAAAACAATTGAATTTATTAGATTTTGGGCTGATTGTTACATTTTAGAATTATAGATTTCTTATTAATAAATTTATTTGGTAAATATTTTGTTGAAAAGTGGTAAATACCAATAGTTTGACAAGCAACCCACATATGTTTTTGCTTATAAACTCTATTTTAGAGTAAAATCTACTCCAACGCACTTCTATTTTCATCTCTAAAATAGAGATTGCATGCTATTTTGCTCTATATATAGAGAAACTCTATTTCCCCCTCTATATTAGAGTTAAACTTTTTTATTTGCAAACTGGTCTTTTAACTTCTAACATTTGCTTACATTTGCCACTTCCTAATATACTAATAATATATAAGACCATCTCCAATGTATTTTTCTATTTTTTCCTCTAAAATAGAGAAAATCTATAATAGAGATGGTTTTTACTCAAATGTATTCCTCTATTTTTCCTCTAAAAATGAATTTTATTCCAAATCGATTATAGTATTAATACATTTTATTTATAAAAGTTGCAAATGAACTCATTACTTAAATTTTACAAAACTTTCATAAAGTTATGGTATTATTTATATTATGATATATATACCAAAACCTCTAAAATTAACCCAAAATATTAATTTTATTTATTTTAATCATAAATTAAAAAGTTATAAGTTATACCAAATATTTGGTAGGAATTATTTCCTACCAAATGCCTACGCATATATTTCGTAGGAAATTCGAATGAAATTTCCTACGACAAAAGTCGTAAGAAGTTCGTAGGAAATTTCCTACGAAAATCCTACGAAAAAAATGTCTTAGGAAATTTCGTAAGAATTGGTAGGAAATTCGAAAGTATATTTCCTTCCAATTTCCTACGACCAGACCTTCGTAGGATTCGCGTAGGAAATGCGAAAGAAAGTTATGAGGAAATAGTTGGTAGGAAAATCGTAGGATTAACACTACAAAAAAAAATGAGCATTGATAGCATATTACAATAGCACTATTTCTGTAACTGCTATTAAAGACGGTATGCTGGATTGGGGTAGTCTGCTGTAGCTTTTTAAAAATGTTAAGCCGAAATTTTCACTAATCGGGAGCAGTGTTTTAAAAAGCGGTCTAGGC